ACTGTTCTCTAAAACCATTTTGGGGAACCAAAAATGGTTCTTCTATTGTATAGCTATACGTAAAACCCCTTTTGGAACCTTTATTTTGATTTGATATTCATCTGCTGAACATCTCCTCATTCAGACCCTGGCATTAAACTCAGATCTCGCATGAGATGTTTTTGGCTGCTGCCTCTTTCTGAGTCATGTGTTTTGAAGTGATGACAGTGGGAGAGATGTGGTGATTTTGCTGATCCAGAACTTCTTTTTGTGTGGTTGTGTTTGCTGAACCTGAACATCTTCAGGTAAAGTCAGATGTCATTTGGTTGTGCATGGACGTACCTGAGTGCTCTAAGCTTTCTCGAGGGCTCGTCTGTAGACAAACATCTTAACAAAACATCTGCTTGCTTCAGCAAATATCAAGGAAGAAGCAAATGTCACTTCGTCCTGACATCCTTCATTGTAGTGGAGTGTTGACACAGATGCATTAAAAACTACGATTTACAACAAAAACCAACATGAAAATATGACCTATGATGAAATTAACTTAGAGAGTGAAATAAATGTTTGCTATCTATCTATCTATCTATCTATCTATCTATCTATCTATCTATCTATCTATCTATCTATCTGTCTGTCTGTCTGTCTGTCTGTCTATCTGCCTCCAATTCAGTGTATCCTACTTTATTGGTATAATTCATTAGCATATAATATTGGCAAAAATAACTACTGTATAGTCTAATCAAAATGAGGAAATATTCAATAGACTTCTATTTTCTTTTTTAAAATATATATAAAGTTAATTATAATGACTACAGGTTAAACCAAACCAAATACAACCTGAACAGCAAACTTATTAGAAAAAAATAAAAAATAAACTCTATGCAGGGACTGGTTTGATGGGGTGATATGGGTCAGCTGTGGGGATGCCAGGTGGTCTGAACCGAGTCTTTAAAGTGGGCAGAGTGGGTCGCCTCTTCAAATGCTGCAGGAGCTCAGCTGCCTGGCCTCCTGCTCATCTCATTTAAACCCGAGAGAGAGCATGAGAGATTTGCTGCTTTAGGTAAGGGGGAAGAGGAAGAACAAAGAGAGGGAGAGAAGGTGGGTAGGTATGTGAGAAAGAACCGATGGAAAGCTCAGCTGAAGAGGGGGAGGAGATTAGAGGTCAGATGTGAATTCAACAGAGAACATGGCCTAAAAACCCTACATTTTGTTTCGGATATATTTGGAAGAAATTTTTACATATTAAAATATACATTTTACAAATTAATCTAAGTAAACATCTTATTATCATATAAATTATATGAATATTTTGTCGAATTTCTTGTTCAGATATTTCATACATTTAAAGACACTATGGTTGGATAAAATTGTACAAGATTTCCCTTAAAGCTTTTACTGCAAGTTGGTTTAGTGTCCTTATTTTATAATGTAAATTAAGAAGCGTAATTTCTTGGCAGATGAAAAAAAAAGAATTTTACATAAAATGACAATAAATTGCACAACAACATTATAGCGTAATTTACTTAGACACAGTACAATTGTTTGACTTGTAAAACATACTGGCTACAAAGTGAGAGAAATACAATGAAAGCGTTCTATAAAAAACAACAACATAATTATCACATATCACAATTATCACACATGAATTCATCACCACAATCACGGATTCTTTATCCATGCAATAATACATATAATTCAGTACAATTTTCCTGAATATAAAATACTGAAAAATGTCGATATGGTGTGTTTACGGGTTAGTGTTTCGATGTGCGGTGCACCTGCTACTTTCTTCTTGCACAGCAAAGTTTCATGAAATCTTCATTTATAATTCACGTGACGGAAGCTTAAATTAAGAGGGGCAACAATCGCAACTTTTCGTGACTGAAAGCTATATAATTAATCAAAAACATCATATTATGTATTATTTGATTTAAGCACAAATATGATTTAGCCATAAACATTCTATTTCACTACCCTGAATAAAATACAAATACAAATGTAGTCTTTAAATATACAGAAAATGTGTTTATTTAACATGGGCGTTCGTGTTTTACTTGAGAAGTCACAGTGGATATTGTGCATTTTTAATAAACAAATAATCAGCCTCATTTTTAAAGATGACATTGGCGACATCGAGATATTCTAAAACAACGTTACAGGGGAGATGATTTGTTTGTTGACTATATTAAACAAACTTTATTTGTAAAGCTTTATATAATTTGTACATATAGCCTATGGTATATAATTCTATAGTCTATTGCATGTTTTATAGATTTAAGATGTATAATGTAATAATAAACATACACTGTGCACATGTACGAGCAAAGAATGGCCACATTTGGAGTTCTGTAGAAAAAAAAACATGATCGATAAGGAACTGTATAAAATTACAGCAGCTCATCTGGTCGGGAAATCCTGTATTTAACTTTCTAAACATCGTAAGTGGTCTGTAGAGTTTTACGGTCTTTAAATTTCCTTAGGCTTGAAGTTTTTGTAAAGATACGCAGCAAACAGCCCACATTTAATGTGAACAAACAACCTCGTTTGTTAACGACAAGGGACATAAAATGCAACCTCTTTAAAAAATAATATGAACAGGCTTTAATCGAAAACTTTTAAATTGCTTCTTACCCAAACTGCAAGGAAGTGATAAAATAGAAATCCTCTGGTGGCATTTTTTTTTAAAGATTTTTATTTGAAAGCATTTGCCATGCTCTCCATCTTTAATTGTGTTTTGTTTTTATAACAAACGTTTACGTAATTGTTGACGAATAGTCGTTTAGAAATAACGTACCATATTTTGTCTTTTTACAATTTAATAAGATATAGAATCGAGTCTAAGCACCGAACTATATAGGCCTACAAGTCCAAATTAGGACAAACAAATCTGTTCGCGGAGCTCATAAAGAAATATGTAGAGGCATTAAAAGAGTTCCAAAGGCTAATGATTTTATTATCATTAATTCAGACCTTACCTCATTTGAGATCACTGCAGGGAATTCTGCTTAACTTACACATTTTATAAACGCGATGACTAAAATGCAATGGCAAACTGAGTAGATGCATGTGTTTCCACACAGCCAGAGGCTTTCTGCCTAACTATTAGCATCATTTCAGTCCTTCAATGACATTAATTGCGGGAGGCAGCAGAAGAAAGGCTGTTTAAGTGCTCTGTCACTTGCGTTGGACCTTTCACCTCATCACAGGCTGGAATGCGTCCTCAAGAGCGCCACTGTGCCACATGTACACCTGGAGATGCACCGTGCACAAGCCTTTGGAGGATAAAATGAAGGGGATTAAACAAAGAAAAGTCATTTTCTGCTTTCTGATTTGGACCTCTCAGTCACAAATATTCAAAAACTGATTTATGATTTAATGACGCACAGAAAATTAACCTCGGCTGTGATGGCACAAGTCATGGTTTACATATTTTAAAATATAAAAATGAACAAAAACACAAGAAACAAAAATAATAGAGTACTAATAATTCGTGTGAGTTTGTTTCTTCTCGTCGTATCTCACGCAATCAATTAAAACCGTTCTTTTTCAGAAAACCGTTCTGTTAAATTGCACAAAATTCTACAGTTTATTTCTCATATCAAACACACCTAAAAATGAAGTCCTTTCAGGTCTGCATGTGTTTAAAAATGTAGATAACCCGTGTGATTTATTAACCTCTTTACAGGAGCTGCGCGCCATGCGTTCCTGACCTTTCCAAATGTTTCATGACATTACGTGGAAATAATGCAACTGTTTCAGGACTTATTTGCGGTGGCGTTTTAAACATGCTTTATTTTGCATTTCCAGCGTTGTGGTTGAATGAATAAAACATCACCTTTTCTGAATCTCAATTCTTTTATCGTGCGTGCTTAATATGTAGATTACACGGCCAAATAAACATCGGGAATATTCGTTCGTTTACGAAAAAAAAAAAACGTTTTTAAGGTTTAATCCTCTTCCATATGAACTAATCTGAATATCAAAACGTGCGACGTTAAGACCTTCTCAAACAAAAACAGATGATCAGATTTGAAGGAATTCGAATAAACTCAATTCTAACCCGCTGCTGGGAAGCATCCAGTGAAACATGCTTTGTTTTGTGTTTTCGTCCAGATCATTTCTTAAACTATAATAAACTAGCACATATTGATTGATTACCTGTGTATGAGCTTTCGTTTCGAACCTCTGCCTTTGACTCCTGCAGAAATCCAAGGCAATGAATGCAGGAAATGTACGAATATTCTCTTTTTAGAAACTTTTTCTTTGGCTTTTTTAGCTGCACGTTGCTCTCTGCGGACTGTGGAGCTGGAAACACACGGCTGTGTTTTGTGGTAGTTGGCCATGCCCTCTGACTTCATATTCTGCAGGGTTAAAGGGTCCTCAATTTGCATACACATTTCTAGCCACAAATTTTCAATATGTTACCTGATCTTGTAATAAAAACACCAAAACGCGTGTATAATTTATTAAACCATTTATGTGTTTTAAGAATAGCTTTATAACGTTTCAAATTATTTAATACTTATCGAAAATAAATAGTTTAGGCTTTGTTTAGCTCAAAGTTTTTTTCTCGGTTGAATAAGAACACACTGAATTATAGTTCATTTCGATGGTTGGTGCCGTAATTTCAAACCAAATAAATGTCACATCCTTGTGATTTTAGCATAAACTAGCATCACAAGTGAAATGATACAACCTGAGCGTCCGATTCCTGCGCATTGCATGTCAAACCGAGCTCTCAAGTTCGTATAAAGAGAAATCTCCGATGTTTGGAGGAGAATTCAGATTGTGAGCGCCACTTATCAAAATGCAAAAGCTATAGATTGATGTAAAAAAAAAAAGCTGACGCCACTTGGAAGCTCAAAATGATACAAATTTGCGAGCGGAACCGTTCTGATGGCATTCTTTGCGTATCTTTTGCTCCGTGAGTATTTTCTGCAATTACTGGGATGTCGATGGCTCGTTTGGCTCGTCGCTCCGCCCCCCGTGTTTGTCGTAACCCCGCAGTCTGACGGGAATAAGGCAGAAATAAGAGCGTCCAGGACTCGTCTCTTTCTCCAGGACGCGCACTCGGACTTCAGAGAACGCGGTTACGCACGGCGGACACGTCGCGCGCACATCCACGGGCTTGTGGCAGCTTCAGCAAACTCGCTCGCGGGCTGAACCATGTCCTTCAGCCCCAAACACTCAACGCCTTTCTCAGTGAGCGATATTTTGAGCCCGATCGAGGAGACCTTCAAGAAGTTTGCAGCCATGGAGAGCAGCGCGTGCCTGGCGTCTCCTCTGTACAGACAGACTCAGGTGTCTCAGGCGAACCTGCAGCAGCACAGCATGAGCCATAACACCTACCACATGCCGCACTCGCAGTTCTCGCACAGCGCCATGGGAGGATACTGCAACGGGACTATCGGCACCATGGGAGACCTGCCGTCCTACCAGGAGAGCATGAGGAACGGCGCGACGGCCACGGCTTGGTACGGCTCGAACCCGGAGCCCAGATATCCGACAAGTGAGTCCGATCAACAGAATCTTTCATCCTGTGTACCTTAACTGATAAATGTCCATCAAAAATGGCATGTTATTAAGGCTTTTGCCATGTATTATTTCTTTGATTCTCTCGTTTTAAAGAAATCAATTATTAGCCTATTACTATTTGTTTACACACTGTCAAGCTGTCATATTATTAAGGCTTATGGAATTTGTCCTCAAATAACGCAAGTCCATTGCCTACAGTAACCTGCGCGTGAAATATACATGTGAAATATTAATATAAATAGGCCGACAGACAGACAGACAGATAGATAGAACAAAACAATTCTTAGTAAATAAAACAAAATTATTTAATTAAGTTTAATGTACGTTTTACGTACTTAATCGTTTATTTCGGTCTTTCTACGTCAAAATGTCAAGTTTCATTCAATGTTGCTTGCCGTTTTCTTTCTTTCAAGTGAAAATGGTCTCAGAGTAAATCCTGCACCTTTTTGTAGCGTTGATAGCATTTCATTTAATTCGTTTCTCTTTTCGGCTTTGCATTTTAAATCATTTTTGTTTAATTCTTATTTTTATTCGATTTCATTTATAATAGGCTTATTATATACGTGGACGTTTTGTACTTGTTTAAAAACTACATTTATAAACGGCTACAGGCTATAAATTTAATATAATTTTTAATTATTTTATATTAAATGAAATCAATTTGAGTTTCGTACCAAATACAATGAAAATACATTTCAGAAACACTCTTCCCTCAGAAATTGCTTGTAAATTTCACAAATAAACGGCAAGTAACACACTGAATTAAATGTGAAATTTTGAAGAAAGATTGAAGTATTATTTTCCTGTAAAACACACTCCAATAATCTTTATTTACAACTTCGAAAAGTCCTTTTTTGAAATTGCATAAACTTGGCATCGATGTAAATATTAATTTGCTTGTTCTCTCAAGTCTCCAGGTTTATGGGTCCATCGGCGGGCATGAACATGGGAACATTACCGGGCATGGATGCAAGTAAATCTATGGTGACTTTACACGCGGCGCCGCGGAGGAAACGCCGCGTGCTCTTCTCTCAGGCGCAGGTGTATGAGCTGGAGCGCCGCTTTAAGCAGCAGAAGTATCTGTCGGCGCCGGAAAGGGAACATTTGGCTAGCATGATTCACCTGACCCCGACCCAGATCAAGATCTGGTTCCAGAATCACAGGTATAAAATGAAACGCCAGGCCAAGGATAAAGCGTCGCAGCCGCAGCAGGACAGCGGAAACCTGTGCACGCAGCAGTCGCCGAGACTCGTGGCTGTGCCGGTGCTGGTTAAGGACGGTAAACCGTGTCAGAACGGCTCCAGCACGCAGGTGCAGAGCGTGCTGGGCAGTGAGACTTTAGCTTCAGCAGAGGATCTGGAGGAGATGTCGCCCAGTCCTCCTCTGATGAACAGCCTCTCTCAGACTGACGCCGCGCTCATCGAGTACACGAGCGGCATGGGGAGCTCCAACCTGCTGTACGGCAGAACGTGGTGATATTTCAGCCAGCGGTCATTTTTACCACACAGACGGGAACGATAATTGAATTTAAGACTTTTTTTTTTTAAACAGCACTCGTCTGATGCAGCGGTCCGCGGACCCTCACGTGAATTGTATGGATTGTAACTTTAAATCATTATTGAATGAAAATCTCTCCTGCGGATGAGGAGTGTGTGATGAAGACTAGTCTAGCATGATGCCATTAATCCGACATCAGTTTTGTTGCTTTGTAAAATACAAGCTGTAGATGAAGAAATGTTTTGTGTACATATCTAACACTGGACAAAGAATGCTTTCTTGAAGTCTTTTGTAAGTTTAAAAGGAAACAAAATAAATATGAGTGCTGCAAATATGAAAGAACCACTTGAATTCAGTATTAAATCATTTTTGTTCCTCAAAAGCAAACCGAGCAGCAATTATGCATTAAAGGTCTAAAAATACTAGCTTAAAAGAGAGAGAGAGAAATATAGCATTATTTATAGTAATTATACATTAGACCAAGGAAATCTAAAAGGTTAGACTGAATATACGCTAAAAGAGTTTTTTTTCCACGAAGTTGCAAATAAAAAAATTGCACGTTTAATTCAGTGTTAAGTAACGTTTCTTGGTAATTAATTGTGAAATGTTCTAGCATTTCTGAGTGAAATTTCACAATTTAATTATGTAAAATGCTTGCTAAAGAGCTTATCGGAGGCGATTTAGATTAAATTAGGACATAAACACCGATACTTTTCGTACTTTTATTTGCTATAAATGTTGAGAGCAAAGTTAAATATATATAGCAAATGAAATGCATTTCCTTATGAAACAATAAGAACGAATTAGTTTGTTTCCCAAATTATTACATATGTTAAATTTGTGTATATTGACCTTTTTTTTTTTTTTGCATTGGTCGATTTTACTTTGATTTAAACGAAAAAAAAAATATTCTAATAGGTTAAAAATAAAAGGAAAGCTTTTTTAAAATAGCAGATTTACTCGTGTTGGTCATTTTCATGCATTCCAGTCAACTGTGTATTATTATAGTTTAATCCATTAATTAATTCAAGACTCATTTTAAACAGACTCTAAAAACTTCCACCTGCATCTATAATTGCCAAGAAAAAAAGCTATGAATATTCATTTAAAGATTAAAATACAATACAAAAACGGACTCAGCTCACCACAGCTATGCATTGGGAGTTTATAAACAGATCTGCATTAAAATAAATGATTACAATTGAAATCTAATGAATTCTTAATAAAACACAAACACAAAGAAAATAGCAAAACTCAGCAGTCTTGTCTCTTATGTGTATTTCATAAGTTTTACAGGCATATTCTTAAAAAGCAGTACATAAGAACATTTTGTCAGTAAAACAAGAAAAAAAAAAAAAAACCTTTACAAATCAACAGCCCAAAAAAGACAATGTTTACTTGGAAAAAAAATAAGAAGCCTTCTTTCATACAAGGCTGAGAGTTCAGTTCCAGTTGTAGCGTTGTGACGGTGGAGGTAACCCATAACCCTGTCCAAACCCCTGAAAGACAAGCAGAGCTTTCCATGAGCATGAGGTTTTATGCCTGTGTGTTTTCACTGAAATTATCAGGAGGCGGTCAGACCTGCTGATGTCCTCCCCCGCGGCTGTCCTGCTGGTTGTGAGGGGGTCTCCATCCTCCTCGTCCTCTCTCCTGGTTCTGCTGGTACGCGGTGCTCTGGGACTGGATGGCCCGATCCCAACCGTGAGCTCCATGCTGGAATCTGTGGAGATCAGAGCAAACTCGTCAGCAAACACAATGGTCACACAGAAGAGAAAAAAGTCTTCAGGAAGCTTCAGAAAAATCACAAACTGAGCAAGTAGCTAAAAAAAAAAAAAAAAAAAAAGTCCTAATAAAAAGCACAATTCCTATCGATTGAAATATTTCCAGAGCACATCTAGAAAAATACATATTAAAATACATAAAAAGAAATGTCCAAATTTTTTTTTGCCAGACATTCCATGAATTAATGATTAATTTCCAGTCATTCGTGAGGACTGGATAATGTTAAAATAAGTAAATAAATAAACCAAAATATATCCTTTATATAAAATATAATCTTTAAATTTTATATCTTTTTTATTCTATTTTTTCTAAATTTATTTAGCAAGGATGCATTAAATTGATCAAAACTGACAGCAAAGACATTTACAATGTTACAAAAGGTTTCCCATTTCAAATAAATGTTTTTCATTTGAAATTTCTATTCAAAGAATCAGAAGAAAACAAATATATCATGGTTTCCACAAAAATATGAAGCAGCACAACTGTTGATAATAAGAAAAGTTTCTTGAGCAGCAAATCAGTGTATTAGAATGAAAATAAAAAGAAATGTCCAAATTTTTTTTGGCCAGACATTCCATGAATTAATGATTAATTTCCAGTCATTTGTGAGGACTGGATAATGTTAAAATAAGTAAATAAATAAACCAAAATATATCCTTTATATAAAATATAATCTTTAAATTTTATATCTTTTTTATTCTATTTTTTCTAAATTTATTTAGCAAGGATGCATTAAATTGATCAAAACTGACAGCAAAGACATTTACAATGTTACAAAAGGTTTCCCATTTCAAATAAATGTTTTTCATTTGAAATTTCTATTCAAAGAATCAGAAGAAAACAAATATATCATGGTTTCCACAAAAATATGAAGCAGCACAACTGTTGATAATAAGAAAAGTTTCTTGAGCAGCAAATCAGTATATTAGAATGATTTCTGAAAAATCATGTGACACTGAAGACTGGAGTAATGATGCTGAAAATTCAACTTTACATCACTGGAATAAATGACATTTTACAATATATACAAATAGACAGTTATTTGGAATGTAATAATATTTCACTGTTTTTTGATCAAATAAATGCAGCCTTGTTGAGCTGGAGAGACTTCTTTCAAAAATGTAAAAAAATAAAATCTCACCGACCTCAAACTTGTATATTTAGCTAAAAATATTTCCACAATTTATTAACCTTCATGATTTATTTGAGGCTTGGATGATCACTTTCACCATTCCCTGATATTTTCTGGTTTACCAAGACCACAGCAACCCTAATCTTTCATTTGAAACCACAAAGATCTCAAATCCAGCAGTACAAATAATGAGATTTCAGCTGAAGTGGCTTTGAAATGCAAAGGCCAGCTCATTCTTTGATTCCCACTTCACTCGTCGCCATCAAAACTAGTCTAACGTCTCCTGAATGCTACAAATAACACGGCTGTAACCTGGGCACGACCGTAAACCAGCTCACCTACCAACGCCTCCCAAAATCTACGGTTCTCTACAGAAAAGAGGTGGACATCAGCATTCCTCATTACTGACGCAGCTCACAATCTTCCTGAGGAATCCATAATCCCTCCTCCAGGTTCCTTGTGCGTTTCATTCGGCTCCGTCCCGAACGGTTAAAGAAACTCTGCTGCTCTAATAACTACTGACCTAAGGTGACACAGGGCCACAATGGGCTGCCGGGCCTAAAAAGCTGAACCAAAAGAAGCTGATTAGTCCCTGAAGTGGTCTGGAGCCAGAATCAATGGTGGCTCTGTGCGGCCCCCAGTGGCCCCTGTGCACAAGAGACGGTGAAGCGCAACCGCATTAGTGCTGCCTCATTAAGCCCTGCAAACCTCTTTAGGAGAACATTTGTTTAGCGCACAGAGAAAATAATTCAGTCCGGCCCCCCCAGGAAGAACATCAATAACTCGTATCCTACACAGGAAGACCACTAACACCGGGAGAGGAAAGGTAACTGGAGTCTGTTCGGTCATTTCAGGGCTGCAACAAAATTATTTTGATAATTGATTAATCTAATGATTAGTAGAACAATTAATCACTGATTATTTGACAGATGAATCAGTAGGTTTTGACTGATTATTCCAGGGTAGGGCTGCACGATATTGGAAAAAACTCACATTGCGATATTTTCTTTTTCTGTGATATATATTGCGATATGAAAAAAAAACAACAAAAAAACACCACATGACTTGAATAGTTTATTTGGGAAAAAAAAAATAAAAATCAATGATTGGGGTGATTTTGTAGGAGAGTAAATCAGAATAGGAAATAAACAAGTTACAAGCATAGTTAAATAACAGAACAACGATACAAATGAAATCAGCAGTGCTTTATATTTTTCAGGTAAGTCTAACAGTATTCAGGTACAGAAATTGAATAATCAAATGTAAAATAACACTGCATAGTCTTCACTGTATAAATTAAATCTAATAAATCTGTGTTAAAGCTACAGAAGTGATTTTTCTTTGTTTTGTTGTTTGATTAAAATTCATAATACAGAAAGCCTCAGGAACATTAAACTGCTGTAAACAAATATACTGTTACACATCCGTTTTCTTTCTCAATTGTTTCCCTTCACCTAAGCCATAAGCAACTGTGTTTACAAGGATACTTGCAGAGCACAGTATTTCAGGCACAAATAGACGCAGAAGTGAACAGAAATTAGTGTTCACGTGCATCTGCGGGGCTCTCACCGTGTCTTCACCGGCCGCGAGCGGCGCAGTGCGACGCGACAAATTACAATGAACCCATAATAATCAGTGATGCTGTCTGTCTACACTGGATGCAGCGTGGCACGACAAATACCCGACAGTAAACTGATGCTGCATTCACTATGACGTACTGACACAAAGTTCAAATGATTGGCAACAGTCGCTTTGTCGCGCGTCCAGTGTAGACAGACTTTGGGGCCGTTCACATGTCACGCCTAAAAACACGTGGAAAAACGCCAGTCGTGCCGCTTTCTCCTTTTTAAAAGCGCTCGGGAGCTTGCGCTTTCGTGGCGTCTGCCATTGCTAAGCAACCGTGACCTGCGCTCTCCACGACGACGCGGAAGTTTCAACAGGATAAATGGATTTCCAGAACTGAAAATCACGTGCAGTAGCTCTGCTACTAAATGTATTTAAAATGGGTATCTATGTACAGCGGTCACATCTGGTGTAGACACCGTGTCTGTGTGTGAGCAAAGAAAACAATCAGTATAAATATAACAATCAGTAACCTATACTAAACAACGCACATCCTGCGATGTGACTATCGCGCATGCGCA